AGCGCTGCTGTCCGATGGTCGTTAGAATGCTGGCATCGAGGCAATAAACGTCTTTATATCCAGTGTCCAATGTGGCGGCGGGGACTCAGATCGAAGTGTGCCCGGTTCCACCAGCTATAAATTGCTCACCGGGTGCGTCAAAGCTTCTAACCACACCGACCGTTTGTGGTCACGGTACAAGATAAGCAACAAGTCTAACCGGTCATATGTGCCGACCAAACGTCACAAAAATCTGCTCATGCTCCTCGTTACAGACTTTTAAGCCATCGGATTATCCCCGAATGATCGTTTAGTCTTACCCACCTATCTACCATGGTGACAACTGTTGCGCCACGAGTGCAAGGCTCAGAAGCCAAGTGACACTTTCTCCGACTGCCGACATAGTTGGCAGAGTTGCGAGCCATCGTTCAACGCCGCCGAGCCGAATGTCAGACTAGCGAATCGCGTGCCATGCCCGGAACACATATGTTCCGTGTTTCGCTGACGGGTGGGTTGGAGGGAGGGGAGAGGTAGCACCGGTGTCCTTATTTGGTGTTCTGTGGGGCTCACTCTACCCCTCCCCACTATTAGTGATAGCGTGCCTAGGGTATAGCTCGTGTAAACCAACGAATAAGTCAGTGTTCGCCACGGGCCGCAAAATCCCAGTCCAGCCCAGTCCAGGCCCATGGGTTCACAGCCCGGCCCAGCCCGAACCCATACATGGTAAAAGCGTCGAAGCCCAGCCCGGCCCAGCCCATCAAAAATGAATGGATTAAAAATTATTGACACCTCACAGGGATCCAAAGGTAGCAAAGAAACAACATTTTGCGAGCAGCATGAACAATGCATATTGCATGCGTGCTTTGTCAACTCGTTTTTTTAGTCTTGCACAGTATGTAATATTGTAATAAGCCATGTAGTTATAGTTTTTGTCTCAATCGCGAACCCCTGACTCCACTTTACAGTTCTTGGCCCAGCCCATCCACAGCCCATCAATCCTTCATATTTGAGAGCCCAGCCCAGCCCGTAGCCCAGCCCAGCCCATGGCCCATTGGGCTGGCCCGGCCCATGGCGAACACTGGAATAAGTTACAGCCCTGATAGACGGTGACTGTTATACGATTCATGGATACGGATAGACGGTTCACTATTATACGGTTCATGAATACGGATAGACGGTTCACTAATAACCACAGTAAGTAGAGAGTACCAGTGGCGGATCCAGGGGGGGGGGGGCAAAATGGGCATTTGCCCCCCCCCCCAAACGGCATAATTCTAACATTACGCCTATGGACGAGGCATGGAAAGAATCGATAAATTGTTATGGCTTGCCCCCCTCCCCCCCCCCAAGCTCTGAGCTGGATCCGCCTCTGGAGGGTACGATGCATTGCTTGCATTTCGTATCTGTAAGCTTACCTCGCATTTCATACCTTTCTGTAAATTAACCTTAAATGTGCATAATTATTTACTTGTTGGACCTTTTTGGTCTATTTTGGTCTATTGAGACCGACTCAGTTCGGTGGATGATAGGAATAGTTTGTTTTTTGTTTTGTTGGGTTAGGCCCTTTCGGTCGACAAGACCATTGCAGAGCCGGAAGGATGATAGGAATTAGGGGGAGACATTGGTCTGGGCAGGCACCCTAGTGAGTCGCCGGGGCTGAGCCCGTCCAGAGGATAGGCCACCCAGCCCCAAGGCACTCACTGCACCCGGCTACGGGGTGCACTCCCTCGGGAGCAGCGGTGCCGCTCCAAGGGAGCAGCCCGCATGAGATAAAGTTGCCTGTCCAGCCCGGAGGAGGGTTACGACGTGGAGGAGAAGGATTTCCGTATCCTGAGGATAGAAGCATGGAAAGGTCAATAGGAATAGGGAAGTAGACGTTATTGTTGGGCTGATTCTACCACCAGCTGGGGAGTGGCGAGTCACAAAAGCTGAGCTTGGGACATGGTGTACTGGTGGTGCAGGTCACCCGGGCGCTGTTAGGTGTATAAAAATAATGTAATATTTCTGAAAACCGCCTCCACCGAGCGGCGAGCATTTCTATGCTATCGCTTTGCAAGCTGCTGACCGTCAGCCTTCACTGCATGGTGCTGACATCTATGTGTAGTAGTCATAAGCTCCCAGAGAGGGCGCAAAGCAATGGAGGCGCTGTAGCTGTCGACATTTTAACCGGACTGTGCTGCCACCTACAAAATAACTCACCGTTCCCTCCTCTACCGCCATCTAGGACTCATGTACAGTTGGAAGCGTTAGTTCTGCTTATTCCCGCACCGTGGCAGGCAGGCTCGGTCTACGAACAGCATGAGCAGATGTAAGCACTGCTGGGATTTCCGGCCTTTTCTGGCATCACCCCATATGGGAAGAGTTCCGCTATAAATCATACAGACTTGACATGGAATTTCCACGACCGCAAGGGAACACGGGGCTAACCCTGAAGTGAAGCAATGAAGCTTGAAGAACATTGCACAATGGGGTGGCTAATTAGCACGTTACAAAACACCGGAGCATGTGCATCCAACTGCCATTGAAGCCAGGGTCAGCTACAGTAGGTAAATACTCGTGAAATGAAGCTGGCCCGTCGATTCATATGTATTCGGACATCCGTGCCGTGTTAGCGACTCCTCATCAGCGACAATCTCGGCCGTCAACTACCCCGGCCTTTTCCAATGCCTTTTTTACCGTCAACTAACTCAGTTATGAAATTGAAAAAAAAATCCCTTCTGCTCAAAGAGAAGCGTGATGCCGGACCTGCCAGCGAATGGAGCGTTTGCAAGCCGAAATCATGTACCTAACGCTTTAATGCACTTCAACATTTTGTGGGAATAACCATAGCCTAAGAAGTTATTATAGCAATCAAACATAGTTAAAGCAAAACTATTTACCTACCTAATAAAGTTAAAAATTACATGTCCACTGTCCCGCTTGCATTTCCTCTTCAATTCACTTGCATTTTCAAGTCATTGCAATTGCACAGTCTGCTATTGCATGGCTTTAATGCCAAATTTAGTTAGTTCACATTCTATTGCAAAATGTTTATCGTTGATACGGTCGTCGTTTCAGCAATTAGGTACAGTTGTCTGACGTGAAAACATTAACTGAAGTTTCCGTGTCCATTCAGTCAAGTCTCGCAACTTGTAGCAAAGCCTGAATTATAGGTATGTATCGCTCACTTTAACACTTCTCCAACGTACTTAATATCTACTTAAATTTGTGTGCTCTTAGACATTGAGTTGAACACATGTGCGAATACAACTTTCGGACAGTTACCTGCAGTTAGGCCTACTCGTCTACCCTGTAATCATGTGGGTCCATGAAGCACTAAACGGCAGCTTGTCGTTATAATAATCAATAATTAGTACTATCATTAACAAGTGTCGATGTTGTCACGTCGCATGTTTCGGGGGTGCGAACCTCGTAAATTTATCGTATTGTGTGTGCCGACGCCGGAACAAATGGTTTTCTACATACGACCCGGCCAAGGGGGCGGGTACGACCCCCCCCCCCCCGCGCCGTTTCGCCCATAAATGGAGCTAGCGCCTCGCGGAAAGAAAACGAGCGTGTGCGCCGTTACAAGAAGCAGCGATTGGCTAATTTTTTTTCCACAAGTTAAACAGCAAATTAGCTCATAAGATAGTGTAGACCCGATAGTCGAGGCTCTGCGTATACCTTTTACCTGAGCTCTATATAACTAATGTGCGCCATAAGGACATCTTCAGGGAAGTGTTACTGTTCGATTAACATCGACATCGGTTCTATTTCCTCATTATCTCCAGAATCGAATGTATCCAACCCCGTCGTTTCTTTCCCCAGCCGCTGACCTTTCCCGCCGTCTCCGATCGGCGACGATGTCGTTAGACTGCGGCATATCCGGCGCTGTGCCGGCACCTCGCCGCACCCGATGGCCGCCATATTGAATGTGTCGTCGTCACCGGCGGCGGCATTTACCTGTCCGGCATGTGATCTGGCGTCGGCCGGCCGCGCCACAGTCGGCGTGTCGGCGCCGCGCAGATTCTTCCTTCCTGCTGCTGCAGGTTTTCCTGCGCCGCTGACCGACGGCGGACACCTGCGCCGGCGACACCGGCCGGCGGCCGCTGCCGGCGCGTCGGACCGATTCTGGGAAGGTGATTATCGGAGCGGCGGCCGTCGGGAGGACGTCTCGACTCACGAGGCGACGCAGCACCTGCGGCGGCCGGAAGCGACCCGGAAAGGTCGGCCAGAGAGCTTACCTTACCTTACCTGCCGAGAGAGGTGTCGACAGGTGCTATTTCCGACTGCATGTGGCAGAAGGCTGAGGCAGGGATTTTAGGCACATAGAGGGGTAGGCTAGCTATACATAAACATATTATCCCCCTTGATTAGGATTAGTACTTAGAGTGGGAGGTAAACGACGGGATAATCATAACGTACACATATACGTATTATATTTAGAATCATATGCCATATTTTGAAAGTGCCTTTTATTCGTGGCAGGGACAGAAAAATTGACACGCCATATGAGTGCTAGACAATGACAATGTCTGTATTGTTTTGCGGCCTTTGTTGTCAAATCGAATAAAACGTGACTGGGCTCAGCTGGCGTAGAACTCTACCGAATGATTCGGGAGTTTCCGTAGGCATGGAAAAACTATTTCGGGTCAAATGTTGATAACGGTCCATCGCCCTCCTACATAACAGCACGTTCTATACACTTTAGTTTTCTACCCATTCATCGACTTTATCTGACACTATTGCTGGCACTGCCTGCATGACATCCATGATCCAGCAAACAACATCCAAACAGCCAAGCCCAAATGGTTTGCATTGGTCAATTCATCGCTATTGCATCTGAACTGAGCTTGTGCAGTGAGCTTTTGCTTTTATTCGGATTTCGGAACCGTTCAGAAACTTTCTGATGTGCTGTGCTAGTTGTTGTTTTATTTATTTTTCTTATGAGAAAGACACGAATCTTAACAATTTTAGATCAGTGAAGATTCACAATATCACACAACCTCCTCGACATTTCCCGAGGCACCTACTTGCGACGTTCACACGGCTCTAGTTTTGCAGACGTACGCCTTGGCGGGCGTGGTGTGGCCGAACTTCCGCTCGCACTCGCCATCGTCCCACGTACCGTCTCGGAGCATGAACACGCAGTCGGAGTCGTTCAGGTTGTCCGGCTGGCCACCGGCCCAGTTGGTGAAATTCACCGGCGAGGCGTCCGTCCACTGGAAGGTGCCCTCGGTGGTCATGTCGTGCAGTCCGATCCAGACGTAGTCGTAGGCGCTGACGAACGTCTGGAGGAAGGTGTTCTCCTCGGCCGAGTGGATGGAGGCGAGGTTTGGATGGGCGGTGACGGAGTTGGCGCACCCAACCATGGCGTCGTAGTAGTAGACCTTCTGGTCGAAGAGCCGGTAGCAGTTGGACTGGAACAGGGTCCATCCACTGGGACATGTCGACTGGCTGAACGTGCCGGAGACGAAGACGGCTAGGAGTATGGAGAACAACATGTTGAGGATGTGGTAGGGTAGTGCTGTCTGAGCGGATGACAACGGACGACTGCCGGGGCTCCCTTATATCGGTAGTCTGGGGGGATGTGAGACTTATCTGCAGGCTGGGAACACGGCAGGTGACCCTCAAATGCCGGGAAGACCTTCGTGGGAATACGGACACTACATATTGGCCACTACTCGGTACTGACATTGCCACTGAAAAGTACTAGGAACGTCTACAATATTTATCAAATGAAATGATTTTACAGTAATTGTTAGTTTTCAGAAGTTATAGCTACCGTTGTTCAGATGTATCTATCATGGCATCCCACGATCTATTTTGTGATGCGCCTATCTTAGTTCGGCAACTATGAAGCGCATTGATATTATTATGGCACATTAAGTAGGTGTGCTAGACAATTAGGCCTACGTATTAGCCGTTTTCACGACGGCCATCTGGTACACATTTGGTGCACATCTGGTACAGATTAGGTGCAGATTTGGTCAAATCAGGTTCAGTGTGTCTCTTAGCAGCTCAGCTAGGGTTGCACTAATTGCTTTTAGAGCAGCATCGATCAAAACACTAAAATAAATTCATAAAATGAATATATTTGCTGTAAAAGAAATTAGGTGCAGATTTGGTCAAATCAGGTGCATTCGCCGGATAGCCCGTCGTGAAAACGGCTATTAGCTGCTTTCTCCATTGGCTTTGCCTATAGGCTATTAGTATGTAATGCAATCATTGCGTAAGATCTGCAGAGACCAGAAAAATAATAAATGGACCTCTGTTTTGAAAGGGAGATTATAGTTTTTGAGTATTTTTGTCCTAATAATTAAGAGACCCATGTGAACTAAATTGTGTCCCCTTGTTCGTAAAGCATACAGTTAATGGTATCGGAACATTTCGGTTACTTTGCTCATTGCTGCTCATTGGATTAAAATATCATCCAAAGCAGTACCTACTTGATCGTCTAGTATTTTGAGCTCAATAATCTGCTTTTAACTTGATCACTGGCTGTGGATGCTATCTTATTTGCATCGCTGCACTATACAGTCTTCCAGGTCAGGATTTTTAAATCCGTCTTGCATATGCAATATTCATATTCATGGGGCTTGTTATTCAGAGATCGTATCGGACAAAAGCCAACTAAAACACCCTACGGTTTAATTATGTAGCCTTTCTCGCAGCAAGCAAACTCGCCGCATACTTTGAGACGTCATATCTGTCTGGAATCACATTTGAGCCGCACGGATCTTCAGCGAGCTGGCTCTATCGACTGGAGGCTTGTGCACAGGTCACGAGGGCTGCATTGTCCAATGTCCAGTGTCCACCTGTCATGTCGAGGCCCTGGCCATGTTGACGGAGCATGGGCCAGCCCGTCGAACCGTGAATGGAAAGCAACATTCCGTCACCAGAGGAAAATCGATTTTTTGCCTTTTTACAAGACAAGTCTCATGCCATCACGAGGGAGCAGACAGACGGAACAGCAATGCGGCATGTCGGTTCCTGGTGTTGAATTAAATCTAAAAGATGTTCAACGAAATGAATGTCGAAAAACGACTGATACTCTTAGGCACTGCTATTGACTGCTGATCACTCAGATCACTGATCAGGTCCCAGTCATGGAATTATGTCCCTTTTGACACTGGCGCACTTATCTTCCTTCTTTGGACTTCCTCCGGACATTTGCAGGTCGATGTCTGACTCGAGACTCCACAAGGCCAGTCGGAGGAAAATAGTGCTACGCCAGGGGCACAAATAGCCAGGAAGGTTCCCTGTAACAGACTTCCGTGAAAAATACGAATCCTAAAGCCGACACGCTCATGAGATCGACTTTGTATACAGTTGCAAACAGTTTAATTAATACGCGTTTGGGAGCTGGTAACAAAGTGTAATGGTAAAGAACATAATCCGAAAGACATTCCCACAAGGACATGTGTCATATCCCTGTGGGAGATATCCTGTGCAATTATATTTCACTCGCCAAGTTAGGATCGGATTAACGCATGTGTCATGAAATGGTTTGCGTTTCAAGTCCCTTATCATCAAGTGCTTTCGCTCTGGAGTGAAGAGTGGGTCATATTAAAGGTTGTTGTAAATGTTATCTCTAATACACTCAACGCTGTGTTGGAACAATTCTAGCTAAAATCAAAAGACATTTTCGCACTATAATCTGGCTATCACTATCAATTTCATAACGTGGATCTCATGACCAAAAGAGAAAACTTTGTAACCTGTAGCGGTAACTTCTATCGAACACATTCCATAGAAGATAACGAGACGCACTTTTTAGGAAACCGAAGTGCGGTTTTCGTAAAATCAGGTGTTAAACTGCGTGTTGCATGACACCTCCAATCCAGGAACAAGGTGTTTTACGCGTTACCAGGGGCGGCGGATTCGGGGGGGGGGGGCAGGGGGGGCAGCTGCCCCCCCTGGCAAAATCGTGGGGGGGCAAAAGTATCTTTTTGCCCCCCCCATAATTTGTGACAAAGCTTAGACAAGAAACCATATACCTGATTATTCTGTTCGAGCATCTGAAGATGTAACCAGATGCCCATGTACTTTCATACGTTGCCTTTCTTAAATGGCAAGCGTTCGCGTTCATATGAAGTTTTCCTCTCTTCAACCTAGTTTTGGAGGCATTATAAGCGTCAACGTGACGCAGCGGCAACCCAGGCCTTCAAAGACCGCTTACAGGGGCGACAGATACGGGGTGGCAGAGGAGGCATCGTCCCCTAAGAAACTTTTGGAGGAGGGGCAAACGTATATTCTTGCCCCTCCATAATTTGTGCCCTAAACATGGGGAAAATTTCCATAACCTGATATTGCAGCTATGCGCTCCTACAGTTTGTCCAACGGTGCCTTTTGAATATGTGTAAATGCTAACTATTTCCGCTTTATATCATTTTTTGTCTTTTTAGATTCGATTTAGCGATATTTTAAGTGTGCAATAGACGCAACTCATGCCTTCAGTGGTCGTTTGCCGCTATTTTGTACCTACATAAATGCCAAATCGCAAGCGAGCGGAGACGGAAGTGCTAGCCATTCGCTTGCGGGTAGTTAGAACTGATGAGCGCTCATAATAAGCCACGGTCGTACGCATTGACCACATTGACCAATGCACGTTATGGTATGGCACCCAAAGGCCAGTCATCATAGATCTGCTTTGGGCATTCGGAGGCTTGTGTGGGGCCAGTGTTAAAACTGGATGTTCACAGTTCAGTATCCGCTTTATTTCAGTTTTCACTATTAAAAAAGTAAAAATTAATGATGGAAACTTTTGAGGGTTAGGGCACTGATCATTAGTGCCCCTCCCCATCTGTCTAAAGGCTGGCTATAGAATAAAGAGCATCAAACACGAACAGTAGCGGCGGAACACCTTCAATTAAGGAGGGGGGGGGGGGGCACCGCCGACATTTAGTCCCATTCTTTCCATGCAACGCCCATAGGGCTAACGTTAAAATGCCAAAATCAAAGGGGGGCACGGTGTCCCGGTGCCCTCCCCGTTCCGCCGCCTATGAACACGAAAGCAAAATCTAAGGCATTTTGGAAAAATGAGTATGCCCCGCAGCGTCCGATAACTACCACCTTCCAGTGGGTCAAGCCAACGGGGCCCAAGTCTATAATGGCACTTAACGATAGCACTAACCTTGTCTCACTTTTCGTTGAAGTCTGTTCCGAATGGTTTCGGCCACAGACTAGCTGCACTGAGGTCGTTTGGTATGTGCAACTGTAATTAAAGCCACCTGAGGCGCCCTGACACCAGGCTGAAGCTGGGTTGGAAATGCCTCGTCTTTGCAGATATCACTGGCCACTGATTCTCGAGTGCCTGAACCGGTAGATGTGGCAAAATTTGGTGTGATAATTTGGACCTTACCGCAGTCAGCACACCCTAAAGCCCTAATAAAGAAACGCCCCACCCAGAGCTTCTGGATTCCCGTTCCAGTCCACCGTTCCTTCACCTCAGCCCGCCGCCGCGCTCCCTCGCCCTCCGTTCCCAGCTTGACGAGCGTTTGGGCCTTAGTTAAGCCATGCTGTAGGCTTACTGTATAAACCCATCGAGACAGCCCGTCTCGGTGAGCTTATTTGGCGAACACCATGCCTTGGGGAGGGTTTCTGGCGGATCGCTGTCCCAATATGTTTAGATGCGACCGACTGTCTCTGAATGTTTGAGCGGTCTCCTCCCGCTGTGAGCTAGTTTTAGTTGATATCTGTCTCAGAAATACTTTTTAATTAAAGAAAGGTTAAACGGAAATCGAACGTAAAATGAACAGAGGAAATGGTAACGAGTTACCTCATTGCAAAGAATAGCGCGCGCCTACTTCAAAAGGTTTGGCACCGTTCTTCAACATCTGATATGCGATCGGGTTATGACACAATTTTTCCCATTGGAGCTTTTTTCTAATACAGCAATACGAAAAGCGTTACATCGTCCACTGGCGGATCCAGGGAGCGGGCATTTAAAGCAAATATTTACTCCCCTTCCCCTGGCCCCTGCATCGCCCGAAATAGACAAAACGTACCTTATGTTTCCTAATAATAACACTTTATCATGATTTTTTTTGCTTTATGCTATTCAGCAGTAAGTCCGTAAGGAATCGAAATCCGAGGAGTTTTTGGATTTTGGACACTTTTTTTTGGGGGGGTATGTCCCTTATAGCGTCGAAAACGCCTTTCTGGATCCGCCTATGACATCATCTCGACTGGGATCTTGCCCCCCCACGCCAAAATCGAATCCGCCGCCACTGCGCGTTACATATGTCGAACAGTGACATGGGTGCTCGGTTAGCGTCATTTTTCTCCGTAGCAGACATTGACCGGTGACAGGATCGGTTACTTTCCTCTATTGAACCACGCAACTCACGGAGGGCAGGGCCGCAGTGTCAGCGTACCAAGCCAAGGCCAGGACTCATGTTTCCATTGCTGGATACATTACAGCACAGTTCAGCACCCAAGGAGCAACGCATATGTAGCACTGCAGTTCGAGCTGACAACGATCGCAGAACTTCACCGATGG